TATGACTTCCTTCTTTCAGACGAATCCAGTCGGAGTTATATTAAAAATTGTCTTTGATCTTTCAAGCTGTTTAATGCCACTCAGTGGGTGTTGCATTCATCAGTCCAAAAGAAGTTAAATAAAAAGCGCCCATCCATAAAAAAAACAAAACAAGTACAGTATGTGTCTTGGTTGTTACCACATAATACCACATTTTTCCGTAGGTGCTACACATTTACCATGTACATATCATAAGTATGTACAGTAATGTGTCTTATTAGTTACCATATACGGATACTGTATGGATGTGCCTCTTTGTACCCACTTGTCTGTAAGTACTACATATTTACCATGTATATACATCAGTGAGTACAGTAAAGTATTAATTAGTTACCATGTATGGGCACTACCTGTAAGTGACCGTTATTACCCACACGTGTCTGTATGTACAAACAAATTACCATGCATGTACGACTGTTAAGTACAGCTGTGTTTCTTATTTGTTACCATGTACATACACTTCAGATAAGTACCTTGTGTAACCACTCAATTACCTGTAGGTACAAGATATTTGCCATGTATGTACCAGGGAAGTACACGTACTGTAAAATAAAGTGCTACCATGTCTCCACCAATGTCAAAAGCAAACCTATATGCCCTTGGATATATTTTTAATGAAACCTGGGAGATTCCTGTTCCTTGAAATCCATTCCACCCAAACTTTTAAGCTTCAAAAAGTTCATAAGGAAATTTATGACAAAGTTTATAAAGAAACCAATTAAAAAGTAAACCATATAAATTCAGCGGTTTTGTATCGTTTTTTATTATTTAATTTAGGTTTTGTTTACAAGTAAGTTTCGGCTACATCGGCTTTAGGTGGGGTGATAGAAATCTTTCAGGTTTCATAAAAAAATCTTAATGTGTGTTTCATAGATGAACGAAAGTCTTATGAGTTTGGAATGACATGAGGGTGAGTACGTGATGACAAAATTAAAATTTTTGGGTGAACTATCCCTTAAAGTAACAGGAAAAAAGTCAGTTTATATAGAATTGGCACATTGGCACATTATAAAAAAGACACTTTTGTGTGTCTCACCTCACATGGTACACGGCTGGGTAGAACTAGTAAAGACTGATTTGCAACAAGAGCACCACTAGACAGTTTCTTCTGTATTTTCAGCTCCTGGACTGATATTCCATCCACTGCTGCTGTCTGTCCACCTGGAGAAACACACTGTATTACTGAACTACTGCTCATAAACTGTAAGGAATTGTAGATGCTCACACAGATAGGCCTGATATATCTGGCCTGATAGACATTTAGTGGCGGGTTATGAAATTAATTTCTGTTCATCTGAACTACTAAAGCAGTATTGTGACTGGCTAGCCAAAGGGCACTATTAAAGTGCCCATATTATGGATTTTTGAAAATTACCTTTCATGCAGTGTGTAACACAGCTCTAAGTGAATGAAAACATCCTGCAAAATTTTAAATCTGAAAGTGCACTGTGTATAAAGTTATTGTCTCTCAAAAGAAAGAGTCGACTCAGAATCATTTAAAGGGGTCATATGATGCGATTTCAATTTTTCCTTTCTCTTTGGAGTGTTACAAGCTCTTGGTGCATAAAGAAGATCTGTAAAGTTGCAAACACTAAAGTCTCAAAACCAAAGAGATATTCTTTATAAAAGTTAAGAGTTAACCACGCCTACCTAAAACGGCTCGTTCTAACACGCCCCCAACATGTCAATGAATAGTTTTTAAAACGAATCCGAAGCTGTTTCATGTTGACGTCAACATGAAACATTAGCATATTGACCGCCCACTTGTTGCGCACGCAGACCTGGGAAAACTTGATCCCCCCTCCCTCAAACACCGTAGCGGATTCCTGTGGATAGCATCATGTTGAGGAGACGTTTGCTCTGCACTGTGAGGGTAAATCCGGTTTTTTTTTTACTGCCAAAGGATGAGGCTGTGAAGAATAAATGGTTAAAGTTCATTTTTACAGCAATACCACAGCTGTATAGCCCCAACCTTGTGTTGTGTCCCTGTCATTTTACTGAAGACTGCTACAGCAACAGTGTTTCCCACATACTTACACTCTATGTGGAAAATAAATGCATATTATAAGACAATGGAAGTGTTTTTTGACCTTGCATGCATGTCAACCTGTTGTTGGGGACTCCCAAAACCAAAATACTGTATGAACCTTTCATATCCCATAATAGCGGCACTTTAAACACTTACAACAATGAATTCAGAATGCAACTGTAAGAATGCTGACACATAATACACTAAGGAATTACTTTATTCTGCTATATAAATCTCCTTACTGATGACCGGTTTCCTGTAAATCTTACTTTTACTTTTTATTCATTTTTTAATGTCTTTATGTTGTTATCGCTACATACCTCAGCAGATGAATTTGAGACAGTGTTATTAAATACAGTATACTCCATAGTAGGGCTGCACGATTCTTGCTAAAATGTGAATCACGATTTTTCTCCATGGGAATTGAGATATTAACCATTTTAATATACACTACCAGTCAAAAGATTTTGATCAGTAAGATTTTTAATGTTTTTTAAAGAATTCTCTTCTGCGTTTCTTAACCAAACATGGTAACTGCTCTCTGTGTGTTAGCGGCAGTGCAAACGCAGATTTGAATGATCCGGTAAGACTTTTTCAAAGGTTTAATAGACACGGGAGAATCGTTGTCATTTAGAAATGAGATCGTGTGGTTGTCTGAATCGAGATCGCGATCTTTTAACGATTAATCGTGCAGCTCTACTCCATAGCCTGGAAAATATCCCAGCATCTTAGGCCACAGGCAGGGGAAAGACCCTGGACGGACAGTCAGTTCATCAAAGGGCTCACACATAGACATTCATGCTGTCAGTTTTTATTGTCTCTAATTCACCTATGCTGCATGTCTTTGGGTTGTGGAAAAACCCACATAGACACAAGCAGAACATGCAAACCCAGAAGGCCTCCTGGACCGACTTGTACATTATTTTACATCGCATGCAGTTGCTTAATGACAAACATAATGCAGGATGATGACTGACTGTGTGACGTAGCCTATGCAGTTTAATGCCCCTAAAAGGTGTTTTAAATATGGGTTTTTGTCTTCCCATCCAAGTACTCACACACACACACACACACACATCCCCACCTCCCACCTGCAATCCCTGCCGGACCTGAGACATGAACCCGTGACTTTTGGATTACAAGTCTGATTCTCTATCCATTAGGCCACGACTTCCACCAATGCTGCTGAATTGACCAATCAGAACGCGGATATTATGTGACGCCGCTGCTGTCCGCCATCTTGCCCGACAGCTATGGCCGGTTTTCATAGAAATCCATGTTAAAATGGGGTAAAAAAGATTGACTGAATTGAAACTTTTTCAATATAACTAAATATAAAAATGTGCGTGGGGTTAAGCTGTGCTGTTTGTTGGCTGCCACAGTAACAGCAAGAAGCTAAAACAATTCCTTTAAAGTACTTGTTTTGCGTTCCAGAAAATATGTCCATGTCCGGCGCTGTAGGCTTGGCTTGCAGCGCAGAAGTTAAAATACTGAGTGTGAAATAATAAAATAATATGTTAAAACATATGCTCTTATCATTCTGTGGACAAAACCCTGTGAAATTCGCCCTGATCGGGAGCTGTATGCACATGTGTGCTCTCATTTGTTTTCAGTGCAACTAACCTCGCGTCGCTTCATGTCATCTTCCCACTCATTAAACTATGACAGGTCCTTTACTGCAAAATGACGGTCATTGCGACACTCTAAAGTGATGAAACTATGGCACAATGTGCTTTTTAAAACAATTTTCATAGGTTTCACATTATATTGTTGGATCAGAAAATATGTAAATGTGCATGCCCAGTAGCCACAGCTGTATCCCTTCTAGCCTTAACCACAAATCAGACAGAAGAGTAGAATACCATCGGTGGACTTAAACTTGAAAAATGGTGTGTTCTGCAGTTGAAATATAATACTTTCTGATGTTTATTCATGTTCATTTCGTGCTTTACTTAAATATGAAAAGACGATCTGTTCACGTGTTTGAACTGAGGCAATATAGTGATCTGTCACGACACATTAAAGAGCCACAAAACGGTATTTATTGTTTGAATTTCTTTAAAAATGACAACATTTGAAATCTGAGAGTCCTGAGACCTTGTTTCACACCAGAAGTAACCTGCTCCGTCTTGTCTGTCGGCACGTTGTCAGCTTCCTCTTTGCTCCACGATGTATTTTTCACTGCGTGAGAACATGAAGTGTAGTGTGAGAGCTGCATTGTTTGTCGGAGATGGCAACAGTAACTAAGGAGGGAGGGTCTTTGTGAATGGTGAATTGCTGCTGCTGTTGGTTATAGCCGTAGTTGTAGATTATTGCTGCTGCTGCTGCTGCTGCAAGCAAGTACAGGAACTTGCTACTGCCAATGCATATGGCGATACGGTGCTGTGAGTATTTAAGACATACTGCTGCTGCACAAATAGCGTAACCCGTAGCAGACAGGTGGAGCTGGGGAAGGTGGGAGGTTTCAGAGGAACTCTAAAAGCGCGCTGCAAAATGCTCAAGTAAATGTTAACCAGTCACTTAAATGTAAAGCAGTACACTCATTGGCTGCATATGCAACATGGACCAATCAGCTTGTGCCAAGTCATTTAACACTGTGAATATAATCAGTTACGTTAAGAACCTATCAGTCTGCACCATCTAGAGTTTCATGAAAGAACTTGGCATTTGTGTCCCAAATGAAGCACTGTACACCATGCACTTATTTTATGCACTATGCACTCAACCATCTAGTCCTGGCGAGAGCGACAGAGCTGGAGATCGTCCCGGAGCCCGAGCCTCTCGGAGTGTCTATTCAGGTGTATGTGCCGGCAACGGTGCTTGCCATGAGGGAGATGGCCATGGACGGCGAGAGCGCGGAGGGAAGCTCCGCCCACAGCACCATGGCTGAGGGTGAGCTGAGCTCAGTGGATTTCAATATGGATATATATGCAGACCTGCCCGCTCTTCTCCCATCTGAACTCTCTGTCAGTCCTGTTTCGGCCATGGAGGCAGATTGTGAATCATCTGCCTGCCCTGAATCATCTGTCTGCCCTGAATTATCTGTCTGCCCTGAAATCTCTACCTGCCCTGAATTGTATATCTGCCCTGAACCATCTGACTGTGTGACAATGACCACGGAGCGCGTTAGCCTGTCACAGGCGCTCCCGGTGTTGAGAGTGGCCTTATGGTGTGTGTGTGGGCAGCACACACCGTTCCTAAGCCCCCTGAGTATCTTGAACTCCTGCCCAGCCTCCCTCTCCCACCACCTCTGTACCAGTCCTCACCATCACCACCGCTGTCTCCTGGCAGCCCCTCTCCTCACCCTCAGCCCACCATCTGTGCGGTGGGATCACCGCGGGTCTACCAGTCCCCATCGGCGTCATAGCTAGAGGATCCCTTGCCACCGCCTCCAGCCTCTGTGTCCCAGACTCAGCCTTGGCCCGTCGACCCAACAGCTCCACCATGGCTCCTAGCTCCCTCCTCTTCCCTCCTCTTCGCCATGGCCCGTCAGTCCGCCGGCTCCGCCAGGCTCCCTCGTCCCTCCGGCTCCGCCTTGTTCAGTCGTCGACCATCCGTCAGCTCGGGACTTCCACACTCCTCCGGCTACACCTCGTCCCTCCGGTTCTGTCAGGCTCCTTCTTTCCCTCCGACTCCACCTTGGTCATCTGTCGCTCCGGCTCCACCGCGGCCTTCCGGATCCCCAACTCTGCCTCGGTCGCCTGAGCCATCTGCTCCGCCTTGGCCCTCCAGATCCTCAGTGTCGCCCTGGCTCATCGGCTCTCCGGCTCCTGCCTCTGTCAACTCCACCATGGTCCGCCATCATGGCTGGGGTCTGGGTCCCGCCTGGCTCCTCCTGTTCCCTCCTGTCTTCTCCCTGGCTCTTACCTCTGTCTGGTCCGCACTGGCTCCTCCTGTTTCCTCCATGGCTCCTCCCTCCGTCATCACCACCCTGGACTCTGTTGGGCATCCTCCTCCTGGTCATCCGGCTACCTCCAGAACCTCCTTCAACCTGTCTGTGCCATCCCTTTTCGCCATCCCTCCGCCATCTCCTGTCCCTTACTTCTCTGTGGCGCGAGGTTGCGCCTTCTGGGAGGGAGGCGATCTGTCACACCTAGTCACTGTTTTGATTCTGTTTGCACTGTTTTCACTG